TCCTCCTCCTCCTCCTCCTCCTCCTTAATAATATTGTTATAATTTTCATCATTGTCGTAATTACTTCTTGTTTTTATTATTATCATTGGTTAAATTAGTTTTATCATTGTCATGATTATTGTAATTATCGTCATCGCTGACTGTGTTGACTGTCCACCGCCCAGAGCTTCACGGAGTTCCAGCACAAACTGTGCGAGGTGGACCGGCGCGTGCCGCTGCCCAAAGCCGTCACCGACCTGGTGTGGGAGCAGTGTGTGCGGCAGGCCAACCGCATGTTTGTGGAAGGGTGAGTGTCTGCGTCACTTAGGTGGGGGATTGGTTTTTGGGGGTTTTTTGGGGGGTTTTTTGGTTTTGGTCTTTTAAAAAATGTATTTCAACTGTTCAGTATAAGACCCCAACATACGTCCAGTTGATATGTTTTTTTGGATGGTTTGTTAAACGTTAAGAACCCCCCGCGGCAGTGCCACCGACTGTAGTGTCTTTAGGCCATTCCCAAAGGGGGGGCATTTCTTGGTCATGCACAGCAGGATTGTAAATGGGCTGATTCATCTCATGCTATTTCCGGAGTGCCTTGATAGTTGAAGCAGACTTTGTGGTATTGAAGCTAGAGAGGTGAGCAGTCTACGTCTGATTCCCTGTAAAGACTTCTCTGTTGACACCCACCCCTTGGCGCTCCTATGACCTTATGCAGTTGCGAGCGACGTAAAACCTCTACTAAAACTAAAAAAAACAACTAAAGTAAAGCATCTGGAGAAAGTAAGTTCGATTCTGTCTGGGGGAAAAAGCTTTATCAGATTCCTTTAATCTTGTTTCTGCTGAGATTCATTCCAGTCAGATAGGGCCGGAGCGTTTGGCCTCTTAAATGATCTAAATTGTTCTGATGAAGGTGTAAAATATTTACAAGAGTAAGTAAAGAGTTATAAGTCGGTGACTATGGAGTTGAAGCAACAATAAGACCCAAATGTGGGTGGTTGGCGGGTGCTCTGGTGTGGTTTGCTTCTTCTTTTCTATCAAACATCTAGCTCTATCGTCTTTATCTCCCCTTCTTCGTTTTTATGTTTGTTATTTTCTTGTCACACCTCTAATCTTCTAGCGCTCATATGACCTTATGGAGTTGCGAGCGCCGTGAAACCTCTACTAAAACTAACTAAGACCCGAACGTTTTGTAAAGTTTTCTTTTCTCTTCTGTGGTGATTCCGAGACAGTATTCGGCAAATATTTCTCTTTTTCTATCCGACAGATATGCCTCGACCAAGAAATGCAGCAACGAGGGGAGAGCACTCATGCAGCTGGACTTTCAGCAGTTTCTCATGAAGCTTGACCAGATTATTGAACTGAGGTAGGCTACATCATTCCAGAGTTGGTGTGTGGGAGAGGGCTACTTTCTGGATGGGGTGGGGGGGAG